GATAGCTAGCTTGTTCAAGCCTCCCACAACATCTACCAGCGCAGATAGAACTTGTTGGCAAATATTGTGTAAACACAGTATGAGCTCTCGAGATGAGATACTTTCTTGATACATGCCCTAGGGTTTGTTTTATCACTTTATCTTTTAAGATGGAGTTCGAAATACCTATGAATATAATATAAAAAGTTTCTTAACTAAATGTATCATCTGAACACAGATAAAGAACAGGCGCAGGCAAAAAAAAAAACCAGAGCAGTTGGCAAGATGTTCGTGATGATTTCTACTGCTCCTGATCTGAGGCAAACCAGCCCATAATCCCAAGTAAAGCTCTGTGGGAGTAATAAAAGTCATGTTGAAGTCAAGTCCTCCTTTGTTTTAGCTATGCAGTGTTCTGCATACAAAGCAAATTGTATGTGCATTTGAATTTGGGATTTGAGGTTTCTCTCTGATTACTTCATAACGCATGTAACATGTTTGTGACATGTAAGGAGACAAATGTATTCAGATTTATTTAACACCTCTTTAGATTTACAGTCATTGTCCTGATTAACAAACAACAGCAGTGAAGTTGCTAAAGCGTCACGTGAATCCTCAGGATACCCTCTTGAGAATTTCCACAAGCAATTTGAGTTTCTCATCCTTTTTGACATTCATTCAGGATTGGCTTCTGGGGATATTGGCCCTGGTGAGAGCGTGTTTGTCTGTTTGTGCCCGACCAGGGTGTGCCCCATCTTGAGCACGATGCGTGCTGGGATAGGCTCTGGCTCCTCCTGACCCTGTGTTTGATAAAGTGGTTAGAAAATGGATGGATGGATTTGCCTTTTTTGATCATGACAAAAGACAAATGAATGTCCATTGCCCAAATTAGAAAAGACCAACTTTCTGATTCTTCTTGAATTCATGTATGACAGCACAATGAATTTTCAAAACCTGTTGAGTTTCAAAATATGTGTCTATCCAGCGGGATTTCTGTTGTCCCTTATGAGATTAAGGAGCGTGTCCTGCTGTTTGTAAAGGCTATGTCAGTCTGTCTCCTCTCTGTTAGTAACCATAGCCATGGGGTTTTCTGATATATTCTTGTAAGTGTTTTTTTTATGTCAAAATACATCCAACTTGATTTTATAATGGACTACAGGAATCCCGTTGTTGCTCTTCCACAGCCAGGCAACCAAGCACTTTAATGTCCGTTTGAATAATGGTGCTTTCTGACAGGCTTGACGGGAGAAGCATAAAGGAACCATATATAACACCTTTTAAAAATCAGGATATCTGCAAGAACACCCTTGCCAACATCACAAACTTCAAAAAGTTAATCAGAAAGAATCTAGGTGTAGCAGATTTTTAAGAAAGTGTTTGTAGGAAGCTTTGCGTTGTTCATGTAATTGCTATTCCATTGTGGAGATTATTGCCTTGGACAAAATTGAGATCTACAGGCCTCAACAGTTAGGTCTAGGGCACTGGTAAGGCAGTACCGTCAGCAAAGCAAACCCTGAGCTCTCTACTGTTGTTCTTTGGTATTGAAATGCTAAGGTATAGAGCAGACTACAGTTCAGAGGCCTGTTCCAGGTGAAAGGTGTGTTGCGATTTGAGGCTCTGTTTATCCTGTCTGGGCCTGAGCCCTGTGAAAGGGGCTTTAATGAACAAACACAGGATATGGGCAGGAGGGTAACCAGCCTCTGAAGTCTCCCTCCTCCCTTTATTGTGCTCAGTGAGGCAGCCAGCTACTCCCCACAGAAGTGCCCTCCTGCTGCTCCACAGACTGTCGTTAAAATGGGGAGGGTGGGTGAGAATGGAAATAGCCCCTCTTGGTTGAAGACCCCATTACTCTGTGATCATCATTGCAGGGGCTTAGAAAAGGCTACCCAGAGAGCTACAGTATGTGATTAGTAAATCTAGGTCCGGTTCAGTTTTGTCCAGAGCTGTGATATCTCAGAAGTGACTGAGGTTTATAGTGAGGAGGAACAGTGCTGTTTCTGCAGGCAACATGCTAAGTGCCTGCTGTGTGCACCTTGTGAAAATAAAGTTTTCAGTTATCAGTCTTCAGATGAAAAATCCCTTCTGATTCACTGGATTCTCTCTCCTGGGAAAGGACTGATGGGGGACAGCATGCTTGTTTCAAACGGGCTCTTATACAAGTGGCCTCATAATCGAGTGCTCAGCTCAAGCGTGAGTGCATTTGAATTGATTGTAAGAGCAGCCTGCTGTGGGATCATCTCAGTATTAATAATAACAACTCAGGAATGAAACAATAATCTTAGTCCCCTTTACCTTTCACAGTGTTTTAAGAATGGTTGTCTTATAGTAAAAATTTGCATTATCCTTCATGTATCTGTGAATATTTATGCACATTACTATAATTTCATGAGGGTATGTCAGATCATTCCATTAACTACATAATCTGATATAAGTGCTATATTATAATATTCATATCCTGAAAGGATACAGCATACTCAACTTGATCAGTAATTTCTTATAACAAAATGTTGCTCTTTTGGGGCAGTATAAACATGAGGATTAAGTGTGCTTTCAAAACTGAGCACTTACTGTACAGAAATGGGCCTCATTTTAGTGAGCTCACACAGAGGAATTGTTCAAGAAATGGCCACAAAAAAGCTGCAGCCTCTCTAGACTGTGGAAGAATAAGTGGTGCTGGGAGAGGAAAAACAAATCCACTAATGTCTTTAAAAAGCACATAATGAATTGGCTGAAATAAAAGCCAGAGTGTACATTGTCCCCTGAGGAAGACAGCCGCCCTCTCAGCTGTGTTTTACACCAGTAATTAGCTGCTGAGATCCGTGGAGAAAGGTACTGAGCATTGACTGTTTACTGTTCTTCATTAAGAGCAATGAAAAGCCAACGGCATCCTCCACTTTCATGGTCTTTAACACCCTTTCAGGAAAAGAAAAATTGCCATGACATGCTTTATTACACAGGTATTACAAAGATGCCAGCCTCTCTCTCCTACAGAGACACCAAAGTAAGGGTTTCCAACTGCTTGCTGTGTCGGAGAATATTTGAGTACAGGGTTAATTAGCCTGCCAGTGGGAAAATACGAACAGTCCATACACAAACAAACTTATTTCAACGAACAAAGTCAGGATTTTTTCTTTGAAGAGTTCCTCTGTTAGCTGAGGTCAAAAGAGATTTGTAACGGTGAGGCGAAAGGTTTTATGGTCACAATATATTGTGAACTGTTAGCCCATTAGAACATAAGGTTACAAATGAGAGGCCGTTTGATCCATTGTGCTATTTTGTCTGCTAATCTTTATTTGTTTCTTGAAGCTTCTTTAAAGATTTCACATTAGAAAAGAAAGAGTGTGGAAGTTTGAGTTTTTTTGAAGATCACGTCATGTTAGAGAGCTACAAACTGCATGTTATTGAAAACTGACCATTGACCTCTGTTCTCCTCCCCACTAATAGCCGATGTGTGGGGAGCGTACAGGTGCACTATGACTACTGTCACATCATTCAGATCGGGCTGCACATTGGTAGTGGTGGTGGAGGGGAGTCCCCATTACCTGTAAAGCGCTTTGAGTGGAGTGTCCAGGAAAGCGCTCTATAAGTATAACAATTATTATTGTTATTGAAATATTACATCATTCTCCATGACAGGAAAGACTGTATTGCAGGGACTGCACTAAGTTAGAAAGCTTCCAAATTGTTTTCACAGTTAAGATTGTTAATGTCATTATTTTGTTTAAAAGTTATATACAGTGTATTTGGTTTGGAGTGAAACCTTAAACGTGCTAGAAGTAATTTCACTTTGAGAACAAGAAGAAATCAGTGAGATCCTTTTTAAAAGCACTTTTTTTAATTGCATATATTTACATGACAAATATATCAACAAAATAAAGACGTGCGCCTACTTCTAAAACTAGCCCTTTAAGTGTCAGGGCTCATATTTATCAAGAGACATACAGTAGGTACCAACACATTTTGACGATGAAAGTTGAGAAATTACACTTATCTTTGTTTCCAAGTTTTAAATGTCAGACCATTGCAATGGTGGGCTTCAAAGTGCAGCTGTGTGTCAGGACAGGTGAGGGGGGGCTCTCTTCCGTCCATCATTATGACAAATTCACAATTATCCATGAGAAGGAAATAAGAAGTGACCTCATTTAGGATCTAACACCGGCTTTCTAATTACTGTTATCAACTGGACTGGTTAGCAAGTCAGACTCCCCACCTCAGTAGTTCTGAGTCAGTGAAAAATGCTGGATTTCCATTCCTGTGCCCAAATGGTCAGTGTGAGTGTGTGGGGTAGTGTTGCAGACAGGCCATATATCAAGCACTCCAAAGCTCTTGCTAAGATCCCTTTCTAAAAACAAATAAGTATTAGAAATTACCTATGCAAAGTTCAGCAACAAGAAAGGTCAGAATTACTACATTTTGGATAAAAGTGGCGATTGGGATAGAACAACACCATCTTGTAAAATGAATCAATGCTTTTGATGGTGAATGTTAGATTTATGACCATTCTGATTTTCTGTAGGTATCTACTTTTTTAGTGCTTTTACACCTTCAGTGTACCTTATGGGCAGTGACAAATAAGTCAGCACCTCTTAGAGTTACCAGTAGTGTATCCTGCAGCCAATTGTTTCTTGAGAAGGAAACCAAGACCTGTATTTGGAGGACAACTAACACAGGCAAAATAAAGCTGGGTGAAACAGGCGATTATTAGATTTGTAGAAAGAGGGATTCTGTGCATTTTTGGTTTCTCACACATTAGGCTTTGGGTTTCATGCAAAGCAACAAAAATGTCATTTAAAAACACAGTTCGGTGCATGTTCAGTCATCAGATTATGATGAGAAATTTCATACACATAGGTTTTCAGATATAATGAATCTGTATTTACAATACATATAAACTTTTTTTATTCTGTTGTTAATAGTTGCAAGGATGCGATAAGGACGGCATTGCTAAATTAGCTCTGTTCTTTTTATTATTTTCATTATGCATTACTTATTACAACACAATTATAAGACTTTAAGAAAACAAACTCAACTTTTTACAAAATATAATAATATATAAAGGAAGAGAAATGCAACTTCTAAATAAATAAAATGAGTAGACAGTGAGGCCTCCTGGTTGATTTAAGAAAGTGATTGGAACAAGTTAAAACAGGCAGTTTAAAATACACTCAATATGCCAGAACCTTCTGAGATAAGTTGAAAATCATTCCTTTTATTCGTATTGATGTACTGAAAAATTGCTGATGCCGAGTGTAAGAAAAAACAGTCAATTCTATCTGCATCAGCTTGAAATGAATATCTCTGCTGTGAGCCTGCTATTTGTACAAAAAAAAAATATAAAACTACCTCAGCTGTCTGACTTTCAGCACATGCTCTTTATGGTACAACACACTCTCTACTCTTTTGACTCTAACATGCCATGCTAGACGAAGGGTATTGAACAGGCCTTTCTGTTAGTGATAAAAACAGGGAATGGGTGGCATCTGGCATTAAGCCAGTGAATCTCAAGGGATTTTGTTTCAGTAATTGTATAAAATGGTGGATGCAGCACTTGAGTCTTCAATCTGCTTGGCATGTCTACCAGCAGGAATAAGAGAACAGTGGGTACTGGCTCCAGTCAGGCACGTTGCCGTGGTGATACCCATGGTGCATGCTCTGTGCGCTGTAGTCTGAGGGAAGGTGGTGGCTGGGGTAAGCTGAGGACCCATATTGGCCATGGGGAGGCCCATTCCACTGCCCGAGAGCCTGCTCCGTAGTGTAGGGGTTATAAATGTGGCCAATGACTCCCGTCTTGGTTTGAGGTGACGCCACGGCAACATTAAGCACTCCTGCATAGTCCTGGTGCGTAGGTGGGCCCGGGGGCAGAGAGGGAGGACAGGACGATGAGGGCATTTCCAGGGCAGAGGGCTTGTTGGTGTCCTGGTCTGGCACCGTGGCAACGTCTGAGGCTCTGGATTCAAAGCTGGGCCGCCCACTGCGGCTGCTGCTCGCGGCACTGGTGGAGGACGAAGGAGATTTTCCAAAATCCTGGAACTTGCTGAGGAGGGAAGAGATTTGATGTCAGGTCATCCCAACTGGGCTTTACGGTAATACGTTTCTTCAGCACCTCTTTGAAATTGAAGCAATAAAATGTGCAGCTTTAAAAAATGCTTATGTGGGAGAAATCATAATAAAAGCACTTTCTTGCCCATTAGCACTATTTCCTAGAAAGCAAGCATAGGTACCATAGTAAACTCCTATAGTACAACAGTATAAGCTGGGTAAAAGCATGGTAGAGAGGAAACAAGCACAAAGCCAAGTAAATGTACTGCAGGACAGTGCCTTAAATGTAACTACTGTGCGTGGACTGCCCATTTACCTGTAGAGCTGGTAGGAGGCGGGCGCAGGGACCAGTTGCTCTGTGTTGTAGATCTCCCTGGTGTCTGAACCCAAGGGAGAGTCTGTCCGCAGGCTCTGAGAGGGATCTGGATCTGCCCCCCAAGGGGAACAGCGGCCCTCTTTAACGGACTTTTCGTCTTTGGGCTTGGGCAGACTGGCATGGTCCTCCTCATAGCTCTCGTAGAAAGACCCCCTGAACTCTGCTTCACAAACACAAAGAACCGTTCAATCACTAAACGCCACACAAATGACACAACCCCAGCTTGAGAACTAGCATATTCACCACTGCTGACCTCAGGGCATGTGACCTTTGAAAATTTCCATCTGCGGTTTTGTGAATTTTGCATGATTTCATTTTCTTTTGTACCCAGATACCAGTGTTAAGTGTTCCCTGTTCTGTTTTGAAGTAGTTTCACTAAAAATGTACAATTATCCTCCCAAGTCTTTTAATTCAGTGTCAGCCTTGTCAGTTGGATTTAGATTCGGGTTCTTACCTTGAAGATTTTCCTGTTCGTCTTCCTGTTTGATTGCATTTGCTTTCTTCGCATCTTTTTCTGGGCACATCTGACTTTTAAGCATACGTCTGGGGGGGGAAAAAGCTGTTAAGGACTGGCAATAAAGTTAGATCACTCACAGAAAATGGTAAAACAAAATCCTAATTAACCCTTTCTTTTTACAAAAAGGCTTTCTTAATGTCTATATTTTGATGTCTGTTAATGGGTGATAGTTTTATATTTAAGGATAGTCTAAATAATTCACTATGTTATTGAGCGAAAAGTTTCACTCACTAGGCATTCAGCTGATTAGATTAATTCTAAAAAAAGTACAAATTACACTAAACATTTTTGTAGAGTTTTTTTGCAGTCCACTCGGTTACCTCTTTGTGTTGGTTCCTTGTTCCCTGAAGCCCTTAGCAAAGGGGTTGTGGTCAATCTTCAGTTTGGTTATCTGAAAGTAAAAGGAGATAAAAATTGAGTTTGCTATTTTACTTCACGCTTTGTAAAAGACAGCTGTGATTTTCTGGGGGCGCATTGCTGCCTCAGAGCTCTGGAGTCTGAGTTCAGTTCTAGACCAGGGGCATTTTCTGTGTGTAGTTTGAATGTCCTCCCCTGTGTTCATGGACATATAGGAAAGAAATACTGGTAGGTTGATCGGCTTCTGGGGAAACTGGCGCTTGTGTGAGTGTCTGTGTGTCTGTCCTGCCCAGGGTGTTCCGCGCATGGAATTGAATTAAGAAACTTTCTGAATTGGATCAAGAAAGTGGCGGATGCAGAATTTCTGAATGCATTTGACTTTGACGTGGCTCACCTTTCCGTTCTGGTACGCTGTGACCGCAGTGAAAATGGTCTCAGGGAAGGTAAAAGTCTGAAAGACACTCCACCGCACGCTGAAGAGGTCATCAGCCTGCACAACGTGGAAACGGGGCTGGTAGCGATGCATGGAGTGCAAAATGATCTGCAAACAGTGAAAAGGCTGTGATTCTCTGTACATGAAGCCGCTGTACGCTTGGAAACCCCCCAGCGTCTGCTCAATTTAAATCTGCAGCGGCTTATCAGGTTGTTACCTGATCAATTTGATCTTTTCAAGGCAGTTTTTTAAAATTAGACCAATTACTTGACTCTGTCATTGTGGCTACGTCTGGAGGTTTCTCGTAATTAATGCTTTATCCCGAACTTGTGTAGAACAGAACAAAAAGAGCGTAATAACATGGAAAAAAAAACAATAACAACTATGTCCACAAAACCCGGCTGCAGCAGAAATACAGGGCAGTACTGCCAGTGATTACAAGACATCCTTACGTGGCCATGTTGGTCCAGAGTGTTGTTGGTCAGTTTTAGCTTCAGAAAGGAGACCGGCTGCTTCATCCAGTGACTGCCGGGGGCTGGCGAGTCAGGGTGCAGGTACGTCCGACACGGAGGCTGTGGCTCTGCCTTTCCAGCCACTTCCCACCGGTCCTTGTTCCACTGGGAAAGTAAACGGAGGGTCGTCCACATGAAAAATGCGCTTAGGCTGACTGCCGTTACGGTATAAAAAGAAGGTGTGTAGTTTTAACAGACACAGAGCTTATTTACTGGGCAAAAACACAGATACAGAGGAACAAACCTTAAGAATTCTATTTTCCACTTTTTCTTATACCAGTGTTTTGATATCTTAACTACATGCCTGAATAGATAGCGGTGACATTGAGATAACGGTGAAAACGCAGCCAGTTACAAGAAGTGATTCCTGAGATCACAGGGAAGCATAAACGTAGCAAAGCAAAAAGAGGCATTTTTGGAAAACACGATGACAAGAATCGTCGCATTCAGGACAGTGGTCGGATCTTCTGCAGACAGCGGTGACTACAGTGTTGAGCTCGGCTTTTCTGAACAGTACTTAATTGAAATAGCCAGGGGAAAGCGATCGCATGGAGCTCGGAAGGAGACCCTTCTTAGCAGGAGACTAGGACAGTGGCTGTCCAGCAAGGGATTGATAAACAGGAAGTGATAACACACTTTGATCTCCGCAATGCCACAGGGCTGACTGGCAGCACTTCTGGTCTGTGATCTGGGTGTGAGAGTTGCTGATATGAGCCTAAATTAAGATGCAACATCCCAACTCTAAAGAGCAATTGAATAGCTCTCCAGAGATTATCTGCAACATGGCCAACTTCTGCATCTCACCAGTTGAGTTTGCATTCTTCTTTTTTCTTTTGAGATTCTTCGCTTGAAAATTTGTTCATATACAATATAGATGAGAAGGAAAGAAATGGCCAATATAATATCTTTCTCCTTGTCTGATTATATCTATTCATCCATGTTCAGCTTAGTACATTATCCAGTACAGGATCATAAGGAACACACCCATTCTCATACCAAGGCCAATTTATATTGTACAATACACTGACATTTTCTGAGATGTTTTGAGGAAGGCTTCTGTGCAATTACTCTAACAGTATGTTAATTAACAACGGCCAAACAAGTGAAATGTTCTATTGTTTTAAATATTAAATTACATTCTAAGTATAATCACAGGTGCAAAGTGGAGCTGAAAAAAAACTGTCCAGGAATCTATATTCTGCACAGCACAATGCAGAGTTAAGATGAAATTGCAGTTCTGTGATGGAATGCAGATAAGAGAGGAAGACGATAAATATCTTACCTTGTACCTGAAACCATCTACTGGCACCATATCTACCAGTATAATGTACTTGGCATAGGGTAATAGGCCCGAGAGGGTGATTTTACAGTGAGGAAACATTCTCCTGAAAGAGACAAAAAGCAGAAGCTTATCAGCAATGCATCTGTGTGAGTACATACAGATTTATTTGTTACATGCAGCTTATATTTTAGAGAAAATCTCCAGGGGCCATCAGGCTAGCAAAAATGAGCATAAAGGTCTATCACTATGATCAATGTTTTATAGAGCATCCTGTACAAATGTACATGTACTTGAAATATACTTTTAAATTATTATTATTATTGTCGTTGTTTTATTTTTAGTATAGGACAGAGTTCTTACAGTGCACACTGTTACTTTAATAGTCTTGTTATGGGCCATTTGTTCTTTTTGTTATTTTTATCTATTTTTTTCTTAGATACAATGTGATACAATGTTTTTACCAGTTTTATTAGGAATGAGATGTATGTCGGACTGCTTTCTTCCTAAATTGCCCTCCTTAGGGATGAATAAAAGTAATTTGAATTGAATATATATATATATAAGTGCAGCATTAAAGAAACGTTACAGGTCAACATACAGGGCATGAGTGTTTTATTAAGGCATTCTTTCTTGTGAGCTGAAATTAAAAGGTTGTCAGAAAGTTCTGGGATCAATATTTTCAGGATAATGCAGGCGAGACTTAAGAGTGAAGATGGAAGTGGGATTAACTATATACGTAATGACACTGTAGCCCAGTTTGGGCAAAGCAAAGTAAAAAAAAACACTGGAGCCATTAGGTAAGGCAGGGGCCATTGTTTTCTAGCAGAACGAGGGAGATTAAATTTTACCTGGACACCTTTGTGTGCATCTTACCTGCCAGGTTTAGTGATGATCATCTCAGTTCCCAGCTCATGGAAAGACTTCCAGAGGTCCGAGTCTTCTAGGCTCATCCGGACGTTGCTCTGCAGATAGGAGTCGGACCCTGCAGCTGTGGAAGGGACTGGGATGCTGAAGTTTGGTTTCAGATCTGGAGGGAAGAAAATGGAAACAGTCATGACTTGGAAATATTCAGGCATGAGCATCGAGCAGGCTAGCTACACCTCTGAAGGTGCTATTTAAGAAGAGCAATATATATTAAACCTTTCATCCGTTGTATCCAATGCGCAATGTACATGTAAAACACTCACTGGCTTTGGCAAACTTTAAAATGAAATCATGTTGTTCTCCTTCTCCACCCCTTTTCAAGGAATAATGTGAATATCATGTGAATAAAAGCATAGTTTGCCTCTATAACATTTTTTTCCAAGAGCTGTATTTCAAAGATTCCAGATACAGCATCCAGGTTATTATCTAGTCTAGTGGATACTGGTTAAATAATTCAGTAAATTGTCTGAATATGTTGAAAATTGTGGTAAACATCACACAGACCAACATCAGTTTACACAGTAAAATTTCAATAACTAGAAAATGCAAGTAATTAACACTTACCGCGTGCAGGCTGCATAGTTTCAGAGAATGTGCTGTTACTGTTTAGAATCCAGAATAGGATAGAGATCAGAACACTGAGTTGAAGATGTGTCCTCTGGTAGCCCTTGAACAGTGTCTGCAGTACATCCGTTCTCTTGCCTCTGTAAAAGTCCAAGGAAGAACGATGCTTGATGCTTAATCCAAGGTGAGCTCAAGAAATACAGGGGCTTGAGTGAGTGGTCTAAGCTCTAAATGGGGGTGTCTTCCATTTTTAAGAGAGCAACTGAGTGGGTGTGGCCTCTTGGCCCATGACTGTTCTCCATTCCTTTGAAGTGACACAGTGAGAGGACCGTCCCCATTCCTGATTGGACGATTGACAAATCAAAGGAACTTAGCAGCGTCTTGATACCGTCCCCCCAGGAAGCACCTTGGAGGAAATGCATCTTTATTAACTGCTAACAGACTTTTAAACAAATACAGATAGGCCTCCCCTCTTGAGAAAGAACCCGGTTTTGGTGCTAAAATCCCTGTAAATATCCAGGTAATTCCTGTAAGCAGAGAGAACGCCAAAGTGGGAAATAGGGCATTTGGTATTCAAGTAAACAAGTCTGTTGAAAATACGCTTTATTAAGACTTGATTGGTCAACCAAAGCCAAACATTTTTTTTTTTCCCTTGGCATTATTGTGCTTTTATTAGTGCAAGTTATCACTTAAAGGATGACTTTGCTTTAAACATGGAAGTCTGGATTTAAGGTTGGAAAACTATCATTTAAAAAAATGCACACAAAAAGATTCAGAACAACCAAGCCCTTAACATAAGTGTTCATAAGCAATTTAATATACCATTCACTTCCACAAGTACACAGATTTGACAAATTAAATCATAGTGGCCTTTCAAAAGCCCTTATATTTATTCTAATGTTTATTTTAATAAGAATGTTACAAAAATATTCTTAAAATATTAAAAACTATAGAACTACTATTCTTCCACTTCATATAAAGTATTTGCCATGTCACAAATCTGTCTCGTGTCTCCTGAATCTGTCTGCATGAGTGTGTCGAGTACTTTATACTTCATTCCATTGATTTTTACAGCCTTGTGTGTAATAGCGCTATTGTACGAATTAATGTATTTCATCACACTAACTATGTATCGATGAAGAAAATGTATTAAAAACAATTTAGAGATTCAAAGAAGTGTTAAAGTTTATGTCCAATTAGGGCTTAAAAATTGAGAAACGTTATTTTACAGAATATTAAACCAATGGGGTGGTGAATAAAACTACTAAAAAAGATCTCGCCAATTTTTTTTCAGATTATGATGATACGAAGCCCTTTTTTCCCATATTTTCAAACGACAGCATATTTTTGCTAAGTCTTGTTTTTTGTTGACTGTGTTTGGTCAACGTGGTGTTTACAGCATGCTTTTATCGAATGTTGACAGAATAAAAAAAACTTTATATCAAAAGGAGTCTGGCATCTACAAAGTGGAATAACAACTTAGTCTCTAAGAAAAAAGAACTGCAAATTACAAAATGGATGAGATACATTTATCAGCACTGTGCTTCTGAAGTCTTGAAAGTGCTTGATTAAAATACTTTGTAAATAATTAGCTATTTTTAATTAAATAACTAATAATAAAAATACAATGAACTCGTGGATGTAGCACCCCCACACATGCTATGATACACCTATCCTTTCTTAAAGAATGGAACATAAATCCATTATGTGATGTACCTTTCTGAGTGAGCCTGTTATAAAGTGAGTTTTACCCCTTTTTCAGTGTGAGGTATTGTGTGCAGTGCAAGCTCAGCTAAGGTTGTATATTGGGGTGTCTAGACAAGAGAATGGGCAGTTTGTTAATCCCATTATGCTTGTTTCTCCCTGAAAGGGTAAATCCTTGGAACATTCATGGTACCCTGGGTGGAGAGAGTGTTTGAAATGGGAGAAGAGAGACAGCATTTAGCAGTTATTTCAATGCTGGAGGGCAGGGTCCTGTCTCTGAGAAAGAGCCCTGGGCTTCAATTGCGCACTTATCAAGGTCTGGGTCTATCTAGGAGAATCTCCACTGCAGTCAGCCTGCCTCTCTGCCTGCTGTTCATGACAATGGTAGATCTCCCCCTGGCCATACCAGGTTCAAATCCACAAGCTGGCTAATGGTCTTGCCTTGTCTCGGCTTGTGGAAACGTTTATTCAGTGTCTGCTCCATACAGATGCAAAAAACAAATCTCCTGCGCATGGTGAACACACACATTTGCATAACCTTCACTTCACATGTATGAAGGCGCCATCTTTAAAATCCAAACCAGTCTCTTTCAGTAATTCACACACTTAAAAGGGCTCTACAGCAAAAAACAAAGGTTTCATATCTTCCTCCTTTTTGTAGTTTTCAACATGCATTAAACCTCTGCTTGTACAGTTTTTTTCATGCATTGGAGGCTAATTCAAAAAGTAATTTGAAAAACAATCTAAGTTTGGTTGAGTTCATGTTCAATGTCAATTGCTTTCTGTCACTTCCAGTTGAAAGTGTTTTAAAACGACTTTAAAAAAAGAAGGAAAAATACAATGTTTCATTTGTGGAGGCTTCTTTAGCCTTCATGCCTAGACCACCCAAAGAAGACTGAAAAACTGAAATCTGTTTGCTTTTTTATTTTTCTTGTCTGTGTGGAATTACAAGGGCTTGTATATTTGTTCAAACATCTCCCTATAAACATGCTAAATATTAAACTGAATTGAAACGCAACACTTGGAAGTCACTGTGGTGTTCACAAAGCAACTCGATTTTCCCACATGAGACCTGTGTTTTATCTGATAAAACAACTTAAATGTTTGTTATATTTTTCTGTGGAAATTTAACACTGTAGAGTTTTAAATGGCACTCTCTGGAGAATGTTTTAAAATCTGTGAAGGAAACGGAACAATTTATAATGTCAGTGAGTCAATCAATAATGAATCAATCTTTTGCAACAAGTTTCCACAAAGCGCTTTACAGACTTAACAATATGGCAACACATAGTGCATGTGGGCAAAGGAAAGCCTAAAACAACTCTCAGCAGGAGAAAATAAACCTTTGGGGGTTCCAGGCCCATAGAGCTGTCCTCCCCTGCCTCCGGGCAATGGGTTTGTGATAAATTAATCCTAATAAGTCATCTATCCCAGTGCCACAAGCACATCAGAGCTGAGATGGTGTCTCGGTGTGGAACAGCGGTTGGATTGGAGGACTGACAATAGGAGTTCATATCCTGGGTGGGACTGTTTTTTCTCTCTTGACATACCTTAGGCCTTTGACGGTTTTCGAATCCCAAAATGGCTGGCTATTTACTGTAATGAAAGCTTTGGTGACTGTAAAAACATGACCGAATTTGTGTTAAACCCACTACTTCCCGTTGGAGGGGCAATGCAGCAGTCAGGTGCAGTTCTCCCTCCCTGCCACCTCTCGGGCTTCTTGCTCAGGTTCTGCTGAGCTGCTTCTGCTGGAAACTCGCTGGCGTGGCTTGTTGATCCCCAGCGTTAATTCTAACTGAAGCAGCGACTAAAACTCCAGCTCTAATAATCACGCGTCGTCCTTTACACCGCGAGAGGCCTGGCTGTGAAGATGTGCTGCTTGTGTCCCTGGGCCCCAGGTGGCCTCGCTGTGGTTGCCCACAGTATAGGATTCCCCAGTTGCTGGCGCCCCCTAGTGACAAGTTTGAACTGGGGTGTTAAAGTGGCCAGTCTGATCCAGTCTAACTGCAGAATGTACGGAGAGTGGTTCCAGACCTGTCAGTGCCACTGTGCCAGGCGGGGGGCATGTATCTTGTGATTCAGGTCTTTGACTGGACCATTACAACTAGGGCAGTTAGCATCTCCTTCAGTTCTTTGACTTCTTCAGATAACGGCCTGTATTGAATTCATGCAATTCCATAACTTGTGGAAAGACCACACTGCAGTCCCGTGTGCACATGAGAGATGAGTTATGTGGTTTGATAAAAGTAATATCTGGTCTTAATCAAATACCAATGCAATGGATTCTGCATTCGGAAGAAGACTCACATCTGTACTGATGACCACCCACTCTGATTCCCATTTAAAAGGCTTACGGACATCTTACTTCAAAGGTAACTTTGGATGTAGAAGATGCCTACACTGACTGTTCTAACTCATTTTGTAGTAAGCAAATGTTGCATATGGATTGAAGTTAACAATTTAACAAGAATTTTCTACATCTGCAGGATTTCAATATCTCTTTCTCCTCCCATTATAAAGGGGGTGTGCAGTCTTTTTTTCTTTAAATAAGCATTCCTTTATAAACTTTATTAATGCATCAATCCAAATTCCTCAAAGAAGCACTCATTAATACGATAAGATCGGAAAAGGTATTCTCTCTACATACCTACAAGCCTGACCACGCAAGCTAAGTATGATCACCTAATAGTCATCTACAATAGATAAAGCTCTTTAAATTTGATACTTTTACTAGGATGGTATTCTATTCAGGCTCCCTGACTGTTAAATATTTCCAGTGACTCATCCTGCTCTAGGAGTGAGCTCTTAAACTGACTGCAGGTCACTAAGGAGTAGGGCTGTGAACCCCACTGTTCTGGCTGAATTTCCTCCTGAATGTGGATGATGCTGGCCTACTTAAACTTCCCTCTTAACACACATGATGAAGCTGTTTCTCACTTGTCACCCAGGCTGGTACTGCGTGGCAGTGGTGAATTCTGTGGGTGATCTCTTACATGTGTAGTGTTTCTGGGGAAGGAAAGTGCTAGATAAAGCAGGCAATTGTCATATTGTACGAATACATTTTATAGAAACATGGCAGCAGGCATACTTAACCTTGTGAACAGTTTGGAACCTTTTTTACATTTGAAAGTCAAGGAACCTAAGCAGTCAGCACTGTTCCTATTGTCATGGGTATTAGCTTTTGAAAACTCATCAGAGTGTGAGATGGCTTTATGAACTTGGGCTCTCACTCTTGACATGTTTGGAACAAAAGGTGTTTTGCAAACTGGAGTGGACTATAGCCAATCTCTCGGTTTTGTAATGGTATGCCATTAGCCCCTGGCTTTCTGAGTCACGGAAATGAAGATAACAGTTGATCGGGTAGCTGTCTGAGCCCAAGCCAGATAAATTGATAGCCCAGTTTATTTTTTTTTCCACCTAATTTCTTGGAAAAAACACCTTTAAAAAAGTTAAGGTTCATTTAGGTCCATTTTA